CTTTTTAAAAATATTATTTTATTGATCAATTTAATAATTCCCTTTCAACAACGCGTATCTTTTTACAATACGATATATTTTATTACTTTCGGCACGTGTTAAAATAAACAAAATGCGACTGCAGACTTGTTTTGGCCAGAAACAAGTTTAACCCCAATATCTTTACACTTCCCGTGTTATTTGTAACAAAGTCTCCCTTGAGGGCATTGCTTTCGTTTCGACCACGTTGGCCTTGACCTTCATTTGTATGGATTATCGCAGAAAGTTTCTTTCGTTAGCCAAATTTCGTTCAGTAATCCAAAACAAAAAGGAACTTTCGAAAATCTGCTGCCGTTCAAGAAATGAAACCATAAGTTTGGACAACTTTGGAACCACTGTTCACAAAAGAAGATGTCATGATGCCGGCGTTAAATATTCAGTATCAAGTGCGAGACATTGTCTCTGCCTCAGCCAGAATAGAATCTTTTACATGGCCCCTCTAATTAGTTTGTTCCCAGGCAAATAGATAGACCGCAAATAGGTTGAATTAACAGCCGATGCTGAATGGCTTTAATCGAATGATTTGGATGAACACATAATGTGACTTTGGCAAACTTAAGACTATGACTGGTATTCCTGTTTTTAGATCTGCTGGGCACGCACTTGACGATCGGCCAGCTCCTCGGGGGTGGGATGCTCCTGGATGAACTGGATGGACCGCAGGATAGCCTCTGGGATTGGTGGGGGAGTGGGCAGAAGGTTGGACTGCGGGTGGAAGCCGTTCTCATCGGCGGTGTAAATCACTTGGACGGGAACGCCCTCGGGGGAGATGTAGCTGTAAGATCCGCGAGCATAGTGACCCGACTGACCCTCCTCCTGGAACTGAAGGCCACTGGCCTGCTGGACATCGTAGGCGTAGGTTCCATCGGTATCCTGGTTGGCCAGGAACTTGGTGATGACATCATCGTTCAACGGGGCAGCCAGGGCACATCCGAAAAGAGCGACGACGAGGAGCTGTGGGGATAGTCCAAGGAAGTCAATTAAATCAGACGAACAACGAAGTCAGACTCTGTTATCCACTTACGAGCTTGTACATGTTGCTGCTGGTTTGTTGACTGAGAAGCTAATGCTGTCACTCTGCGCTTCCGATTGACTATTTATACACTCAAAATAAAATTAACCCTAAAGTCAAGGAAATCGCCCTACTTTTGTCTTCAAGACAAGCTCGCCCTAAATTTTAGGGTCACATTTTTCTATATTTTTGATTTTTTTTGACGTCATATTTCTAAATTTTAGGGTAATTTTACTAAATTTAAGGGCAAAAATTTCTAAAAAGTAGGAAATTTTCCTAAAAAATAGAAATTAAAAACAAAACAAAAAAACATGTTCAATCATGACTTTTTTTGTATATACGTTTGTATTATGTACTCCTTCCTATATACATATGCAGGCGTTGTGTGTCTTGTATATTGTGAATGTTAAAGGTTATGTATTTATTATTATGTATTTGCGCTTGGATTTCTTATCTAACCAAAGCCAAATGTGGTTGTAAGTGTGGACTACGGGACTGCGGAAGATTGGGAATGTAGAAATTATGATTAGTTAATATTTTATGTTCATGAAAAAAACTTACAATTTTTACTTGTCCGTCGTGAGAATCGAACCCGGGTCTCCCGCGCGAGGAGCGAATGGCCTACATACTGGGCCATTGTAGCACTTAAACTTGCTGTGGCAAACCGAGCATTGTATGTAAAGGGTGAAGCGGACAACACATTTGAATACTAATTGCATAATTTTGACCATTCGCGTTTTACTTATTTACATACGTATATACATATGTATATATTTATGCTAACGCAATTTATATTATGTGTAGTATATAGAAAATAGCTGAATATAAACCTAATTATTTTTAGTTTACTGCTTGCCATCAATAAAAAAAGGAATAAAAAAAAAAAAAAAAATAAATAAAAATAAAATAAAATAAAAAAAAATAAAATAACATTAAAAAAAAAGTTTAAAAAATTTTGCTCTGGGACTCGAACCCGCGTCGATTCGATTGCTAACCAAGTGCTTTAACGGTCTGCGCCACGAGTACAGCCGGCCGGCAGCTGACAAGTTCTGGCATTGAACATTTTGGTGTGCCAGAGCATGTGAAAACAACTATTTCTATTTTTTAGAAAAACTTTCTACTTTTTAGGAAATGTTTCTATTATTTAGGGTTAGCTTAATTTTAGGGTTAGGGCACTCATTTTTAGAAAAGGTGTTGCCAAAATATTTTATTATTTTCGTTTGCCTTTCTATTTTTCAGAAAATAATTTCTAATTTTAAGGGCATTTTTTCTAGATTTTAGGGTGATTTTAGTTCATGGTAACCATTTTCTACATTTAAGAAAAACTTCCTGGATTTAAGGAAAACTTTCTTGACTTAAGAAAAATTTCCTAAGATTTAGAAATAACTTTCTTGTATTTAGAAAAAAGAAATTTTAATGGCGATTTTCTAAAATTTAGGGTTAAATTTATTTTGAGTGTAGTGGTCCGATAGTCAAAGGCAAAGGCAATATGCAGACTCCGAGTATGCAAACAAGACGAGTATGCAGAGCGACCCAATAAACTGCTTTTAACCACACGTTTTAAGTCATTGATGAATGACACGGAGTTTTCAATACAATAGATATAGAATTAAAAGGTTTGTTGAACTCCAAAAAAAGGATTTTTTTAATCTTCCCGAAAGGATATATTTTTCCCAAATCCTATCTCACATTTTCCGATGAAATTTTAATTCTTTCTAATTGTCGTAGAAAATCGTAATTATGAAAAAAATTAAAGTAAAGTGTATTTAACACCAATTTTAAAACCCCCAAGACCCTGAAACCAAAAAAAGATTCATACAGACCCACAAAGAAAGATCCCACAATTTTCATTTTGAAAAGACGCCAAAAATCATGTCATTAAAATAACTTTTGATCAAACATTTGTAACGCAGCAAAGAAGACGATTCCGGTTCTTTGAAGTATATGTATATCCTTTATCAGGATCCCGAAAGAAGTTGATATAGCCTTTTGAACTTGAAAGCTAGCGATCTGAAACTTTTACAGTTCTCATAAAATACGTGTACGCAGATGAAGTTTGAAAAGGATCCCGATCGGACGCTCCCAAAGGAACAAACGGATATAGCTTGCAAAATTAGGCTGATTGTGAAAATATTTCGACTAGTCTAAAAGCAATCGACATAAATCATTCAAAATCTAATTTTCGTATGCGTACCTTAATCAGGGTTAAAGCGCTTCTCAATCCGATGTCTATATCTTATAGCTCCCATAAAAACACAAGATGAAGTAGTAGAGCTTGAAAATTATCGATGTCAGTATCGATATGATCGATACTTCTGATATTTTTCAAACATCGATATTTATCTATAACATCGATGTTTTTCTGACGTTTTATTAGAGAGAAACGAACAGATTTCACTCTTTAATTTTGAGGACCAAAATAACTTTAAATACAAAATCACTTAAAGTAGGGACAAATTACCATACAAATTACCATACGAGTTCTTGGTACTTTGTTCTTCTTTGGTATGAAATACTTAAAAGTAGGCGAAAAGGGCATAGGTTATGGCAAAAAATGGTCAATAAAAGAACCGCGAGTTCTTGAGAAGAGGAGGAACTTTGGTTTTTTTAGTACCAAAAACAAAATCTTGGTTGCAGCTACCGACCTGTCCGCTATTAAAAAATCTCAAGAAACCGCGAATTCATAGCCTTTGATAAGAATTGGTCGCTTTTCGAAGATCGTTTGAGCGATTTGGACTCAAGGATCAAAAAAAAAAAACAACCGCAAATTCTTCAGAAGAGGAGGAATTTTTACTTCTTTATGGTATAGTATCAATTAAAGTAGGGGAAATAACCATAGGTTGTGGCATAAAATCGAAAATGAAAGAACCGCGATTTCTTGGGGAAAGGAGGAACTCGTTCTTTTAATACCAACAACAAACAAAACGAAGACCGTTTGAGCAATTTTGGCAAAGGATCAAAAAAAAAAGCAACCGGAAATTCTTCAGAAGAGGAGGAATTTGTTCTTCTTTAGTACCAAAAAATGGGATGGAACAAAGGTTTGTTCTATTATTTTACATAAGTATTTCCTCAGAAGATATTTAAAAAAAAATTCTTAAGAAGCCGTGAATGTCTTTGACTAAGAATTGGTGTCTTTCTAGAGATGTGACGCAACTCAACTCAATGATAAAAAAAAAAAAACCACGAGTTTTTAAGAGGAGGATCCTTTAGTCTAAAATTGCATTTTAATAATGAAAACCGGAAATTAAAATTAAATAAATTAACCGCGATTTTTTCTAATAATAATATTAATAATAATGCAAGTGTATTACGCATGTATATAATAATAATACGTGGTATTAACAGAATTATAAAATTGTTTTTAATTTGTCTTTGCTTTCCTTGAAAACATCGATATTATCGATACGATAATGATAAAGTATCGAAAATATCGATACTGTCATTTATCGATAATTTTCAAGCTCTATGAAGTAGGTACAAAATTAATGTTTTCAAAATAATATATATTTCATTGTTTATTATTTCAAATTTTCTACGTACCTACACTATTCTAGTAAAGTTTTCATTCGTTAAATTTGCAAGGGTATTAAGTTCACTTCCGTTCTCGTTCCATTGTACACTTAGATCTACTGTAATTTGTATTTCTGATTTGTTTAGCATATATTTCCATTTTTAAAATAAATCGATTTTTCGTTTAATATTACTTAGAATTAAATCATATTTACTTTAGAGTGTCAAATAATTATTTGACTAATCGATATTATTTATTTTTATAAATAATATGAAACCAGTTTTTTCAGCTTCTAACCCACTGTTCACAAAGGTCATGATACTGGCATTAAATATTCAGTATCAAGTGCGAGGCATTGTCTCTGCCTCAGCCAGAATAAAATCTTTTACATGGCCCCACTAATTAGTTTGTTCCCAGGCAAATTAGATAGACCGCAAATAGGTTGAATTAACAGCCGATGCTGAATGGCTTTAATCGAATGATTTGGATGAACACATAATGTGACTTTGGCAAACTTAAGACTATGACTGGTATTCCTGTTTTTAGATCTGCTGGGCACGCACTTGACGATCGGCCAGCTCCTCGGGGGTGGGGTGCTCCTGGATGAACTGGATGGACCGCAGGATAGCCTCTGGGATTGGTGGGGGAGTGGGCAGAAGGTCGGACTGCGGGTGGAAGCCGTTCTCATCGGCGGTGTAAATCACTTGGACGGGAACGCCCTCGGGGGAGATGTAGCTGTAAGATCCGCGAGCATAGTGACCCGACTGACCCTCCTCCTGGAACTGGAGGCCACTGGCCTGCTGGACATCGTAGGCGTAGGTTCCATCGGTATCCTGGTTGGCCAGGAACTTGGTGATGGTATCATCGTTCAGGGGGGCGGCCAGGGCACATCCGAAGAGGGCGACGACGAGGAGCTGTTGGGATAGTCCAAGGATGTCAATTAATTCGCTCCATCCACGGAGACGGACTATGTTGTCCACTTACGAGCTTGTACATGTTGCTGCCGGTTTGTTGACTGAGAAACTAATGCTGTCACTCTGGGCCCTCGATTGACTATTTATAGTGGTCCGATAGTCAAAGACAAAGCCAATATGCAGACTCCGAATATGCAAACAAGTCGAGCATGCAGAGCGACCCATATTTCGCCCAATAAACTGCTTTTGGCCACACGTTTTGAGTCACTAATGCAAGACATGGAGTTCCCATAATGAGAGAACGGTGATGGTAAATGCTGGATACTCTTAAAAAATTATTGTGTTAGATAGCCAATTTAGGGATTAAATAATTTGGAAAATGTGGTATCTATATTTTAATCAAAATTTATAGAAATATACCTATGCAATAGATACTGATACTTCTAGTTTTTTTTAACCTTTCCTTTATAATTATTTTTCCGATTAAGTTAATTTGTTTTATTTATTCTGTAAATTTTTCTAATTTTAGATTTTCTGTAAAATTACTCTTTCAACTCGGCTGCCAAAATTAGTATACCCATTAAAATCAGCTACTTGGGTGGAGCTGATGACACAACCTCAATGCATCAAATTCAAAATCAAAGTCGAATTTTGCTCTTCGGCAAACACCAACAATGGTAAACGCCAACGAAATTATTAACAACAACAGCAGCAACTTGTTAATTTAATCAACTTAACAATGATATTTGAAGTTACAACATTTCTTGAGCCCGAAACGCGAATCAACTTGAATCGAAGGGCCGACGCCAATTTGCATAATACAACCGCCCAACAACAAATACGAGCGTGCATTCATTAATTTCTGATTGAACTTCCCCAGCTTGAATTGATATAGATATAGATGTAAAGTCAAACCAGATCTGCAAACTTAAAGGAAAATCTCAAGGGGCAATACGCTGCGATAATGCATGTGGGCGACATGCGAAGGCCCTTGCACAGAGAAAAACTACTTTTATTTATTTATTTTTAATAAATAAAAAAAAACAATTATTTAAAGGTGCTAATATAAACTTGTTTCTCACGCGTGTAAGCTTTTTTAATCACTTTTGCCTTGCCGGGGGGATTACCCTTAAAGTTTATATTAATTTTCATATTTCTCACACCTTGCGAACAGGGGAATACCCCTCTGCCTTTAAAGTGCCAACGAATACTATCTGTTATTTTGAGCTTTATGGCTCAGTGTGCCAAAGTAATGATTTACATTTATCCACCGCATCGCTGATATATATTTTCTCCCTGTGCGATGGCCCAAGGCATGGCCATATGCTCTCGTCTCGGCAAAGGCATTCATAGTATAAACAAGCATATTAAATTGTATTTTTCTTTTATTACATTATTATTATCTCTGGCAATAAATGTCAACGTCAGTCGAGCCGACAACGGACACGCGACAGAGGAGACGGGTCAGAGGACGAAGGACCTCCGAGCAGCCCGAGGAGCATGTTGATGTAAATGTATGAGGGTCTATATATACAGTGTGTGAGTGGGTGTGCCACCGCCTCCAGATGTAGTCACTTCGATGTTCTTTCTGTATGTTGGATGCTGGATGGCTTGACTGTGCAAACAGACACCCAAAAACATGAGGCAGCTGGACAAGATGGATGCGTATGCTATGCTATGGATGGTGCAGAGTTAAACCTTCCTGTCGTAGGGCAGGACCTGACCCACGGACACCACTGGCGAGGAAGCAGGCGCCAGCAGAGCTCCGGCTGGCTGGAGATACTGCTTGCCCTGCTCCTGACCATGGCTATGATGATGGTGCTCGTACTCCTCCGTCTCCTCCTCCGGATGGTTGCGGTTGTACTCCAGCGACTTGAGGATGGCCTCTGGAATTGGAGGGGGCGTGGGCAGGTGCTCGCCCTGCGGCTGGAATCCGTTCTCATCGGCCGTGTAGGTCAGCTGGATGAGCTGGCCCTCGGGGGTGTAGTACTGCGAGGAGCCGCTGGCGTAGTAGCCACCCACTCCCTGCTCCTGCTGCGCAATGCCGTTGGACGTCTCGAACTGGTAGTTGTAGCTGCCGTCGTCCTGCTTCAACTCGTTCACGAAGCTCCGGATCTCGGCATGGGCGTCCGGGGAGTCCGAGGGACGAGCCTGAGCTCCCAGGACCACGCACACGGCCACAAGTACAACGACGTACTGGAATTACACACAAAATATTAGTCCATCACATCCCTTAAGGAGCTCAGCAAAAAACCTTTGACTTACGATCTTCGACATTTTCGCCTGGCTTAGGTTGAGATTTGGTTTATGGTTTTGTTTGCTGGTTTGACCCTAAGAGCTAAACTGTGTTTGATGCCTCGGTAACCTCGACCCGGCGCTTTTATACCCCAGAAAATCCGAATTGATCTCCAACGAAAGTGAGGAAAGTGGTGTGCAGCCATTAGACCTGATGGTGATGATATGGGGGAATGGGGAATGGAGAAGGGGGGACTGGAACTCATCACATCACATCACATCAATTCACCGACATATGGCAGCTCATTTCGGATTTCACAGCCGAGAGCCAGCAACGGTTGCATCGCCAATTATCTCGACTCTAGGTGGCTTCCACGGCAATTTCCATTAAAAGTTTTGAGTGAAAACGAAACCGACTGAAACCGACCCTTCTCCAGCTTCACTCCCCGCGGGTCAAGAAACTCTTTCGACTGACCAGTAATTAAGTGTTTGTGTTAATTCATTAATTATCCACGACCAAGTTGCACATATAGTTATCGGGGCACATTCGTATGTAAGACGACCGCTTTTACGAAATCTTTAATGGATTCGCTGTTCCCGAGCATTCATCAAGCCGCGGAGCTTGGCACAATGCCATGGCATCGAGATAAGTGGCTCGTGCTGGGTGTTTTGTGCGTGGGGCGTGAAATGGCCAATGGAACAGCCCTCCTCCCCCAGCAAATTATTGCTAATTTTTTCCCTGCTCTCTGCAGCGGAAATCGTGAGATGCTAATCGATCAGAATTTGAAAGCAGTCTGTCCATAACTCACATCATGCACCTGGTTTCGCTTAGCGGGCAACTGGTTCCGCTCATAAATTTAACTTAACAAATAGGTCATGGAAAACATCGCTACTGTATGTTGTACATCCATAACATTAATCTCGGGATTATTAATAAACTGTTTGAAATTTAATTTATTCTTCATTTTAAAAATAATTAATTCATTTATCTCGGCATTATAAGTATCTACTTTCAACAGTCTAGAGAAAAAGAATCTGTTTAAAAATAAATTCCTTTTCAATTTTAAAAATAATTAATTCAAAACATTCTTTTAGGTTTATTATTAATGTCACTATCTACTTTTAACAGTCTAGAGATTTATTATTTAAAAATATTTACCACAGTTTTTAATTAAACAGAATATTTTAAATTTTAAAGACATTTACAAATGTCATCTCAGAAAGAATTATATACTTCACAGCCTTAAAGTGCACGAATTTTCCCTCTGGAATATGTGTGCGTATGTAAATTTAATCTCGCTTTTCATGATGCCAGAAAAGGCCATATTTCCGTCGTTATGCTCAGAAAAGCTGTGAAAGTGCATTAAATTTGCATCTGATGCACAGACCTCATAAATAAGCCAATATAATTTTTGTCGTTATTTTTACTCTGACATTTACACGCATGTCCATGAAAATACACTCAGTTTTGATAGCTTTAAATAAATACAATTTTCTTCAGAGTGCCGTTGCCCACTCATAATTTAATTCAATACGAAAAAAAACCTAGGATAAGTAGAGCCCTGCTGTTAGCTGCTTTAATTTGCTCAAAGCTTTTATTGCTTACGAACCAAATCAATTAGTAGTGCGATGTTATGGCATATTCACGCATTCAAATGAATTGTCAAGAGATGTGAACCATTCAAAGTTGGCGCGACAGCGAAGGGAAACGGACTTGAAACATGCAAATTGAATCAAGTTTTTGATTAAAAATCCATCAGCCAGCCTTAAAACACTGGCCACACCAGCCGAAATGCATATATACGTATATACATTGAGTCGGGCTGCCAAAAAAGAAATAAACTGGATGGAAAACCAATTAATTGGGTTATTGAATAAAGCCCTGTGCTGATTTAAATTGAAGCTACAAGTGCGAACTTGCCGAAATCCCCACCACAAACCAATTTCCAAAGCGAATCGAAATGAAAGTTGCAACTACCAACAATTAGCAGACCCATTTCGTCTCTAGCGATTGAAGGTCGTTGCGGCAAGATTTTCGAAAGTCGTTGACTTTGTTTGACGGCAATCCATCCATCCATAAAAAAAAACCCCCCAAGGGCCGACCTTCCACGCCCAACGCCAACGCTTTTCGCTCGGCCTTTCTCAGTTAGATAGGGTTACACATCTGCTGCAGAACAGATTGAATCCTAAACCAGATGACTAAACCAACATCTGAATGAAACCGTATAAACGGTCCATAAAAGTGGCCAGCCAGTCTGTGTTGACAGTGTATTAATTAATTAAAATCGCTAATCGTATCAGATGAGTGAATGTAGAGCAACGGATTGGCCATAAAAATTCAAATGCCAATCGCTGACGTACCCGAAGTGCACAGAGAGAAAAATGTGACGATGTGATGGATTTAATTACTATAAATAATAGGGGTTCAATTAGGTTTATTTTAACTCCAAAAGTATTTCTAAAAAATATTATTAAATTAATTGAATGTTTTGGTTGGTGTAATATTATATTTTATTTTTTATCATATATCATTTATAAAGCCATAATAATATTAGATTTCTTAGAATAAAGTGTGACAAATAAACATTTAATATTAAATTAAATATTAGGAAGAATACTTTATTTCCTTGGATCTCTTTTTAGTTTATTAAACTAAACCTATTACTTTAATAAAAATATTTTTTACATTTGTAATCCCATTTCTTAGTATAAAATGTAATTTTTTCTCCCTGTGCAAATGCGGCGTTGGTCGTAAATAAACTCTGCAAGACATGCCCAAACTAGGGCTAAAACGCCTCGTCCGAGCGACCTTCGGCGGGACTGGATGGGACCAGTCCGAAACGCACTGGACGAGTTGCCGCCACCGAATGTGGGTCAATTAATGTGGAGCAGGTGAGCGTGAGGAACTGGCCAAGGAGTCGCTACTCCACAGCGTGTCCCCTTTTTTATATTTTCCGCTGCTCCTCCTTGTCTCCGCTTAATGCGCGCGAAGATGGATTGATGCCCTAATGGATGGATGGGGGTCAGGAGCAAAAGGGAAGATGAGGGGCAGAACATCGAGGGCCGGGATGGTTAAGTAAAGCGGAAGCGGCTTAAGGCAACCGGCAAGGAAACGCCATCGAATCGTAACAACTTTTGCTTTCATTTAAAGCCGCCCAAGCGGCAGGCACCGGACAATTGTGTTGGACGAAAAAAAAAATGCCGAATTGCCGAACAGCCGGTTTGGGGCATAAAAGCCGAAAGTAACACCAAAAAGGCCAGCAAAACAGAGGGCAGCAAAAAGCAGATAATGCTGCTCCCGATGCTTCTGCCTCCATGCGACATCGTCCCTTCGTCACATTCACTTTTCTCCCGAAACTGAGCCCCTCCCTCGGAGCTCTGAGTCTCCTCAGATTCATTCCAAGTCGCAGACGCAGTCTGGTTGCCAACTGCCCAGCCTAGCCATGTACTTATAAAAGGCCAACACAAATCTTATAAGGGAAACAGCATGCGCTGCGAGTCAAGCTCCTCTTGTTTCTGTCGGCGATTTTGTTGCTGCTCGCCGATGCCTGTTTTGCTGGCCACTTTAGTGATGGCAGACACCTTTAATGCGGCCCAAATAAAATTGGATACTAAATGAGACAAATTGTTAATGGCGATATTTTAATTATGGCACGCCGAGGTCCCGTTGATTTAAATGTATATAATTACATGTAAGGCTTTTATTCAGTTCGGAAGATGACTTTGCATTTACTTTTACAATGAACTTCGATTTGGATTAAAGCCTAAAGCAAAATGTAGTTCACCTGATTATTGTACACTAAAGCCGAAAAAAAAAATTAAATCTACAAAATATTTTTAAAATGAATTTATTCCCTTCTTTTTCTTTGATTTTTATTTTATCGAAATTAAAGCATTACAATACTTAAATTAATCTTAGAAATGGAAACTAAAAAATTGAATTTAGTAAATTATTTTTATTTATTTTTATTAATGGGGTATGGCATTATTAATATTTTTAGAAAATATAAATTTTCAAAAAACAACACCTAGAAGAAATGATTTTTAAAATATAGTAACAAAAATTAAAAACGTTTGTTTATATTTTTCCTCAACAACGCCTTGACTCAATAGCTGAAAATTAAATTATTACATTTTTTTATATTAGGCTAATTACCTGCCAGTAATCAGAACATCCCATTGAATAGTCCTGAAGTCTTTCAATACCCCCCGCTGTCTCGTGAGCCCCGTGAGTCACGTCATCGCCGGCTCATCGCAAGTTTCCTTATCAAAACTTAATACAAACTTGCCCGCTCCGCTGTCGATAAGCTGTCGTGCTTTCGGACAGTCTGCCAATGTTGGTGGCAAGGTCGTTCGTCTGCTCCGCAGTTGAGGTTGCCGCTTCTTCGGGTCTTGCCTTTTCCATTTTTGGGCGCGCTTGGTGATTTTGTAATAAATGGATGCGTTGACCTAGCATGTGAGGTTCTTAATCGATTTCGCCGATTCGTCGGACGATTTATTATAAAGTCTCGCATATGATTTGGGCACAGGACTAGGCGCTACATTTATAAATGATCCTGTCATAAGGTCAGGGCACTTTAAAATAATTTGCCAGCTCATGCAGCCCGCATATCTATTATTGTGCCAGGAAATAAAGTGGGACAATTCATGGACCAGCCGCAAATTGCGCTAACTAAACAATTTGCGTAGGTGCTAATAGAAAATAATCAAACCCCTTCCCCGAGGCTTCGAATTGATTAACCGGCTGACCACAAGTTGAACAAAAAGGAGCATAAAGTTTATGGCCAAAAAAAATATCTCACACACAATCACCGAAAAGCAAAAAAAAAAACAAAAAATGGTATCGACGGAAGAGTCTCCAGCGGAGTCTTTATGTGTGGGTTTTTCGTATCTGTGAGGGGCAGTTCATGTTCAATGCTGCAAATTATACGCGTTTTCGGCGACTGCGACTGCGAGTGCCCGGCCCAAAGTGATTGGCGTGCCAAAATGCTATAAATGCGCCGCCAGGCCAATTCAGTCACATTCATTCTCGTTGCGAGTTCACAGTGACAACAAGTTAGCCAGCGCCCAGCCCATCCACTCCGATCCCAATCCACTCCAAAAATGAACAAATTCGTGAGTTGAGGAGTTCGAGAACCCGAACCCGAACCCGAACCCATCTAACCATCCCTATCCCATCCTATCCACAGTTCGTCCTTGCCGTCGCCGCCCTGGCTGTTTCGTGTGTCCAGGCCGACTCCTTCGATGCGAGAGCCGAGACCCGGGAGTACAAGAGCGACCTGAAGGAGGACGGCAGCTATGCCTACCAGTACCAGACGTCCAACGGCATCGCCGGCCAGGAGTCGGGAGCGGGTGGCTACTATGCCAGCGGCTCGAATGCCTACTACGCCCCCGATGGCCAGCTCATCCAGCTGACCTACACCGCCGATGCCAATGGCTTCCACCCGGCCGGCGCCCATCTGCCCACTCCTCCCCCCATCCCGGCGGCCATCCTGAAGTCCCTGGAGTACATCCGCACCCATCCCCATCAGGAATCCCGCCAGGGTCAGGGTCGATTCTAGATTCTAGACCATCACCACCACCACTTGTTGAGCGTTATTCGAGCTAGGCTTAAGTCATTTGAAAATAAAAAAACATCGTTTGAGTCTTCAAACATTTCCATAAACAAGTCGACGCTGTTGTTCAATTCGGATAAACATAGCATTTCGGGGGCATTGCGAAAGATTCGCTAATTGGAAGATGCGCCAAATTTGCGAAATGTTTGCAAACTATTTTGCGTTAGCCAAAGTTTACCTAAAGTTAAAATTAAATATGCGTTTATAAATAGGTCGTTTTAAAGCAGATATTTAGGGTATTAACCAACAATGTTTTATTTTATTGCAATTTTTATTGCGTAATTTGCGCTTTAATTTTCTCCCTTAATCTAAGTTTCCAATATATTTTTAAAATTTAATTTACCAGAACTTTTTATTTTACTTTAAGAAGAATTGTAGCTAAATATATAACTATTTAATTCTTATTACATTTTATCTACTTAACCAGGTCAAATCAAATCTTTTTTACAATTTGGATTTTGAATAATGGGCGGTTACTTTTTATTTGGAGGAAACCAGGGCTGCCTACTCGCTTATCGATAGTGTCGCATTGGCAGTCACAACGCATCGTTTACGATATTTTTATCGACATATAGTGCGCATGGCGCGCTTTTTGAATTATTTGAAACTCAATCAATGAATTCGCAGAATATTTTAACTTTATATCTTTGGTTGCAGCTTTATTAATGAAAAATAAGTGATTTAAATATATCCGAAAGTGAAGTGGATCGTGAGTGTAGGTGGTTAGCTCTTCCCTGTTATTTTCTATTTGTCGTCCTATAAAAAAAACTATTGAAAATTAGGAGGATCATTAAACTTTAAAGTAAAACAATTCGATTTATTAAGCTGATTTTCATTTCCAAAGGAAGACAGCCTTCTTAACGTTTTTAAATAATTAAAACATAAAATAAAAATGATAGTTAAGTAAATTTCTCTTGGCTTTTCTCTCGCAGCCGTTTACAGCGCCACTCTGTTATTCGGAACTGGTTCGCGAACCTGTTAGCCGCGCTCACAAGTGCTGGCATTTTGTCTATCTTGAAACACATACGTTACTTTTTAAAACAAAGATTATCAACTAAAGTTGTTGGATTAATTTGGAAGAGAAACATTTTTCAATGTTAATTTTCAAATGTATTTAAAACAGAGCATTTGTTTAGCGAAACCAATTTTTTGGGATTCTAAAACTTTTTTCGGACAAACCATTTACAAAAGATACCACAAAATGATACTTACTCATAAGCAATGTTTATTAAGACTATAAATAAAATACAAAATTTAAAATACAATTTTTAAAATTGGTTCCGTTTTTCTAGCTGATCTGCACTGTTTTTTTGAAGTTTGCTCATCACTGGCGCGCAATCGTGCGATCGGTCGAAAATCAAACAGCGCAAGCTCGCCGTTATTTCAGTCACTCGCGATCTTTCGAACGATTCGGTTATCCGGCTGCAGGCAAAGGTGTTGGTGTTGTGAGGTGTTTTATGGTGTCTTGTGTTGTTTCGAGTTGTTTTAAGAAGCTGTTTTGAGCCGAGAACTCCGCTGGCAGAGTCGAATGCGATTGCAAATGCAAAGTGCATGTGCAGCGGTCAGTATTCGCTATTTTTCGCTGCCATAAGCCAGCTTGTTTGGCTCTTATTTTGTTTTGGTTTTGAATTTGATTTTGAATTTGGATTTGATTTTGAATTTGAATTTGGTTTTGAGTCTGCGCGACTTCGAGTTCTGTGCGCGCGTTGCATTTTCAATAAACGCGTTTGCTTTTGGCTCTTGGCTGCCAATTCTGCGTGGGCGCCAATTCGTGTGACTGTGTCTCGTGTGTGCATTAGCTAATGTGTTTGTATTGCTAATTAAAACGGCAGCAAAGGCAACCGCAAAGTGGCAGCAACAAGCAACAAGCAACCAGCAACCAGAACCAAAACCCCCGATAAAAGCGAAACAAAGTGCATTCGATAAGTACGATAAACGAAATCCATTCCCGATCTAAACCCGATCTGCGCAGCAATTTGGATCGACAGCAGGTGTTTTCCCCACCGCATTTCCCATGGTGAGTTTTCCACGCGGTCGCTATCGCCCTGAAATGTTGACCATCGGCCTATTAAGCGCTCTTTTGTTTGTCCATTAGTCGCGGTCAGCTGTGATAATATTTATTACCAATCGCTTCGAACACTTCCTTCGATTCCCAATGCAGCGTAGAGAACGCCACAAAACTAGATCAATTACGCGGAACCATAGTGCTGATAAGACTTGGCGCCCCCTGTGAAATATCGATAATGCATTTGGTTACTGAGACCACCACAACACTTTTCAACGCGTAAACAAGTTTCAAAATAATTATAAAAACCATTTTGAAGAATCAAGTTGGAACCCATAAAATATTTGTATGAATTATGACAATATCTGTCCTAAAAGATAATTGTAAAACTTCGAAAGACAAACCCTTAAAGAAGGTCTAGAGCTTAACAAGATCTTATGAATTTATATCAAATTTCAGAACATGCTACTTTTAAAAAAAGCTAATTTTTTAATGTAATGCTTTCGAAAATATTTTCTTATATTCTTATGAGAATATTTGATAGTTTTTTAGTCTTCTATAAATTTTAACAATATTATATTTCATGAGTAAAGGTTCGGAAAAAATGATTTCACCATAAAACCGTTTCACATCAGAAATAAATATCGGTTGCCTGTAGCGAAAACACCCTGTACGTACAAATACCCCACTTGTATGACGAAAATCGGCGGTAATCGCAAGACAAATAAACAATTAATTAACGCGAGCATAATGCGGCAATAACGACCGACTCGCAACGCCGATTACGCTGCTCTTTAAATCTAAAAATCTTTGGCTCTTAAATGTGTTCGAACCTCGAATGAGCCGACGGTTTCATTTCGATGCTCGGGGGAATTAGAAGCCGTGTTCAGATCTTTGCCGATACGAATCGGAATCGCATTTTCCATGGGAGCCCAGGGCGGCAAAAGGAACAAGAACAAGTGGGGCGGCTACCTGCCTTTCGGATTCCGAGAAGTGTTTTCGGTCATGATATGCCCAATCTGAATCGACGCGGGTTCCACCCCTCGAGGCCAAAGAAATCTCCGCCAACTCTTCAAAGCGAGGCGGCTTAATTCAAATTGATTTCATTCTCCGATTCGTTCTCTCTCCCTCCGTTTCGGTTTGTTTTTTGGCAAACAATTTGAAGTGTCAATTTGTGTTTATAAAACTAAAATTATTTATCAAGCCCAGGCCATCGCATGTGGGCAGCGTAAACAGTAAAAAGAAGAAAAAACCAAGCACGCATATATATTTCGTTGGTACAGAGAGGAAAATATCGGTGCCTCTTGAGGTTATTATTTAAAATAGACTTTTAATTAGGAAAAATATGTATTTTAACAGGGTACTGAATCAAAATACATATACATTTTAGATTATAAAGGCCAAAAGCTGGTCTTAATATTTTCAGTGCACTCGGATCGGTGTGTATGTAGATATATATCGCGAATAGCACTGTTGGCTGGCTGCAAAGTCAATTGCCAAATATGGCGGACTTGTTTGTGTGTGGTTAATGTCACACACACACTTGCAGAGATAAGTGTAACTCTCTGCCTGTCAATAGCTGAGCTTTGAAAAAGGAAATTCAACTACTTGTTTCACCAAAAGTCGCTGAAATAGTCACCCAACATCGGCGCTTCGCTAGCTGCCTTTCCTTTGTCTCTCCCAATAAATATTGAAATTAGCATGCGTCCAAATAAATTTATTCTCTAATTGTTATCTAAGCTGCGCGGCCCTAAAAGGCATTTCAGATCCAACCCGATCCTCGGATGAGTGTGCCACACAACCCAAGGCAGATTACAAAAGACCTCAGCTGGCTTCAGCTGGTCTTTAACTGGAAATTCTCTGTGACTAATTGGCGGGGAGCCTGACTAATTGCATCGAGTTCGTTGAGAAGTGAGGGATGGGCATCGGGGCACTTAGTCAATAATTAAATCGATTACAACGATCTCAATAGAATTTATTTGAATTTGCGCAGGCAAATCACTTCTGCTTTTTATTGAGTTCTGATTTATAATCTGATTTCCATAAGATCTTATTCTACCGCTTCGATAAGGAATTCATATTTGAAATATTCATAACCTAAATTTTCAGCATTTTATTGGCAGTAGCTAATCTTGATAAATATGATCACTTCATTAAATTTTTACCTCTTTTCACCCTCCATATATTTACACACGTTTCTATGCATATTTAATGACTTGGAACTTTCTTCTCTACAAATCAACTAAAATAAGTCTTTACTTGTTTTCTCGCAGAAAAGGGAATCAGTATTTATTTGACTATAAAATTCTTTAAAATTTTCCATTTCTCCACATTTTTTTCAAATTCCTCGGATTTCCTCGCGGCAAAGGGAATGTAGCCCACTAAACCACTTCCACCTTATGCAATATCGATTCGTTCTTTTGCGTCAACGAGCCAAATGGAGAATACTAATAAAAATCGCGGCTCCCTCTCGTAATACGCTGGCCAACCTACGATCAGCCAACGACGTTCTTTGCATTGACGGCAGCTGCTGCCGCTTAGAAACTAGCCAAACGGCAGCAAAAAAATTAAATAAAAATAAAAATAAAAATAATGAAGGAAAATATAAACAACAACAGCGAATGCAGCCAACACCGATGCAGCGGCAGTGGCAGCCGCTTATTTAATATGCAAATGAGCGCATAAAGGCAATTCATTGCAGGGAGAGCGAAGCCAAGATATTTGCTAAACAATAAGTAAAATGGCTGCGAAATGCGAGAATAATTGTTATTCAGCAGCTGACGGGAGGATGAGCAGTTGTCACTTGGCAACCGCTTTTTTGCCGTGTTTCATTCATATTCATTATAATTTTGAGTTTGCGTTTGAGCCAAGACAACTGCCCACGCAAGCCAATGATTTGATGTGGCAATAAGCGATAATTATGCGAGCACAACGCGGCGTATGAGTAATTTGCGTTTGCAATTAGAAGCAGGCGCCGACGTCGACGTGCTGAAATGTTCAAATTGCAAGTATTAATCTCAAAGAACACAGAACTCAGCATACAGAACACAAAAAGCTGCAGCCGCGAAAAGCAACTAACAAAACCACAAAAAGTAATAACAAATGCGGCCAGCAGCCGAGAACAAAAAAAAAACAAAAGCAGAATTAAAAGCGACGAAGAAAAGAATCCAAGCAACTTGACAAATGCTGTGGGTGTTTCGTGTTGTTGCGGGCCCACGTTTAAAATTAATAATAAAGTACACACACAGTACACATAAAGTCCGCGCAACGAAAGAGTTGAATATTGAAAAAACCCCATAAGAATTCGAGTGAAGCTGCTGCTGTTTAGGTTATTTCGTGTGCCTGGCATACAAAAAGGCAGCCATAAACTTAAATATGTAATAACTTGTGAGCGGTAGCATAAGTAATACTCCTCCGGTTAATGTGCTCATCAAATAGCCATAAATCAGCTCATTTAAAGTTCTCACAGAACTGAAAGTCATTTCCGAATGGTGTAAGGTGTGGTGTGTTGCAAGTAATAATTTGTAGGGTTCTTAATACAGGAAGCAGAGAGTTACCCCACTTAAATAGAGTTTTCCCCCTTTGTTGGTCCAAAATAATTTAAATAAAAAAGAAATCGCAACAAAGCCAAATTCGCCACGCTCAGTTGCGTTCCCTATTTGGAAGTTCTCGCCCGGCCATTCAAAAGCAGCAAATAAGAAATCAAAGCCAGCGTGGCGTATGCGTAATACGAAAGCCCGGAGACCAAAAGACCAAAAGCCCCATAGACTACCGACTACTGACCCATCCAAACTCAACCCACACTCTCGTAAAGTAGCCGCACAAAGGCGGATAGGAAATAACTAACCAGGTCCAAGTTGGCCAGCAAAAACAATACTGATTACAAGCGGCCAGCCATCTCCATGCAAGTCGTTGTTGTTGTTGTTATGTCCATTTAAGCCTTGCCAATTTTGGCAACTTGTCGACCACTTGGCGCTCGAACATCAGCGATCGAGAGATGAGAGCTCAGAGCTTCGAGCTGCCGACTCTCGACCGCCCATACAATTTGTTTCCCATATTAATTTATCATTTATAAACGATTATTGTTATATAAATTAAATTGCGCGCCCAAAACAAATTAAACTAATAATAGGAAGCGTTTTTCACGCTTTGAACCGCTTAATGTGCCATCGTAGGAATCGCCCCGCACCGGGGACTGTGTAATTATTGACTTAGTCTTTGGCTTTGTGGGTAGCCGACAGCCTCGGATAATTCGTAGAACCGATATGGAAAGATATATATGGTAGAAACAGAGGAAAAAGGGGTCGATGGTTTGGCACTTCCGCCCCCCGATTAGCTGGCCCAGTTTGCTTTTTGGGCCACGCCGCTTTCTAGCCATCCATTAGCCATTTGAGTTTGCCAATATCTGAAAACAATTTCCAGGGCGGCTTTGGCCAAATTTGGCGGCGGAGTCGATTACCTTGGCCTGAGTTGTCAACAGGTGAAATTCGTTATACGCCCGCCTAATTTGTTTGCCAATTTTTTTTCTCTTATTCTGCATAATATTTTCCATAATCACCGATCTCGGAAATTTGCATTCTTCGTGCGAGGAGCGAAGACAGCGAATTCATAAAGACCGAGACAAATAATGCGTCAATAAAATGTCAAGCGAGCATCGAAGGTTGAGCAAACAATTGACGAACGGCGAAAAAATTCATTATTTAATGTTATTACCCTCCCGCACGGGCATAAACAAAACCAAAAAGAAAAACATTAGTGTAAAGAACATTGTGAATCACGCAGGGTCACAAAGACTGTGTCACGGATGCCATCGATTAAATATTTGGATGCCTTATGGATGGCCAATATCAATCAAACCGATGGAAACGTACTTGCTTGAACGATCCGCGATCAGGCCTTATTTGATCGCCAATTATCGGCTAATAAAGACTCGTTTTGTGTTATATTAGTTGCATAACATTAGTTAGCAGCTATGATAAACGGAAAGGAAGGGTGTAGTCACCCCAGCTCGT